TTGAGCATCTTTTCATATGCTTGTTGGCCATTTGTCTTTGGAGAAATATCTATTCAAGCCCTTTGCCCATTGTTAAGTGGGTTGTTTTTCTTTCTGTTGTTGACTTACAAGAATTCTTTATGAGGAATCTGGCTCCAGGTCAAAATCCTAGTGTGATCTTTCAGGCTTGACCGTTGGCAGTTACGTGGCTTTAATGTGGCAGGCTCCACGGGGGAAGGCTGCCTTCCCCATACTGGATTTGGGGCACAGCCAGTGCATTGCAGCCTTCTGGAGGGGGTTGCAGGCAGTGCTCAGGCCTGCATTCCGAGTCCGGGCAACTTCATTTGGAGGCCTACTTTGCGGGGCTTTGCCCAAGACACCTCTGCTGAGACCTCTTTCTGGAGGCCTTGGCTAAAGTATTTTTCTCTACTCTGCTTTTCTTCTCCTAGCTCTTCTCCTTTGCTGTGGTCTGGATGTTTCTGTCCCCACCAAATTCCTATGTTAAAATCCTGTTGCCCAAGGTCATGATCTTAGAAGGTGGGGGCTTTGGGAAGTGATTGGGTCATGAGGGTGGAGCCCTCATAAATGGGATTAATGCTCTTATAAAAGAGGGCTGTCACTCGAATGTAGCTGTCCTGGCACCTTGATCTGGGACTGCCCAGCCTCCAGAACTGTGAGAAATAAATTTGCTGCTTATAGCCCACCCAGTCTGGGATATTTTGTTATGGCAGCCCGAATGGACTAACACACCCCTCTCTCCCCTCCCTAGCCATTTGGGTCTACGAAGAGGCAGGAGCCTTAGTCAGGGCTCCTCATTAGTTAGATGATGCCCACTCTCTGCACTGCACAGTCTGACCCTTGCCTGGCGTCATTCTGTGGGGAAAAGGAGCACTAGGGAGCTGGCACTGTTTATTTGGGCTCTTGCCTGCAATGTCACAGTAAGTGGACGGAGTCTTGATTGTTCCTTTCAGTTTGGCTTGCTGACTGTCAACCACCTTAGCACCCGTCAGCTGAACATGTTATATGTTCTGGATATTAGACTCTTATCAGATATGTTAATTTGGAAGTATTCTCTCTCATTGTATAAGTTGTCTTTTCACTGTGCACCTTTGATGCACAAGTCTTAAATTTTTTAAAGAGATTTCTGTTTAATCATATTTTATGTTATGCTTTACCCCAAAATAGCATTGCCAGATAAGAAACCAGACAAAATATTGGAGACATTAAAGAGAATAAGAATCTTTGAACTAAACCATGCAAAATGGTATAAATGTCCACCTGAACAAGTGCTTGGGGCAGAGCACCAGGCTGTAGAAGGGAAACAAACTGCAGTCACCACACCAGAACTGAGTTGTATCAAAAGTGCTCCCAGGCTATTTGTATTTTTGCCTTAAAACATGAATTGTTTATACTGTCTCCAAGGGACAAAACAGAATTTTTCCTGGGCAATTTACATACATAATTCTTGCTTTTTTTTTTTTTTTTAATTATAGTTGAAAAGTTTTTCATTTTGATAGCATCCAATTTGTGTGTTTTTTCTTTGGTTGCTTGGGTGTCATATCTAAGAATCCATTGCCCTAAGATCATAAATATTTACAGTTTTCTTTAAAAAAATTTTTGTTGTTGTTAATCCTCACCTGAGGATATTTTTTCCATTGGTTTTAAATAGACTGAAAGGGAGAGAGGGAATGAGGGAGAGAGAAACATCAGTGTGAAAGAGACACTTCAGTTGGCTGCTTCCTGCAAGACCCAGATGAGGGCTGGGGATTGAACCTGCAACCCAAATACATGCCCTTGACCAGGAATCGAACCCAAGACCCTTCGGTCCACAAGCTGACACACTAACTGCTAGCCAAACCGGCCAGGACAGAATTTTATAGTTTGATCCCTAACAGGTCATTGATCCATTTTGGTTCATTTTTGTATATGGTATGAAGTACACGTCTGGTTTCACTCATTTGCATGCGGATATCAAGTTGTCCTAGCACTATTTGTTGAAGAGACTCTTCTTTTCCTATTGAATGGTCTTGGCATCCTTGCTGAAAAGCAATTGACCATATATGTGAGGGTTTATTTCTAGACCGTCAATTCAGTTCCATTGGTTTGTATGTCTGTCTTTATGCCAGTACCACACTGTTTTGATTAAAGTTGTTTTGGGGGTAAGTTTTCAAAATTGGGAAGTGTGAGTCATGTAAAATTATTTTTCTTTTCAAGATTTGGCTATTTGGGCTCCGCTTTTCCGTTCCTACAAAAAAGATTGTTGGGATTTTGATAGGGATTGTGTTAAGTATGTAGATTGCTTTGCGGAGTATTATCATTGTATTAAGTTTTCCAGTCTATTAACATGGGATGCCACTAATTTAGGTCTTTAATTTCTTTTGACAATGTTTTATAGTTTTTAGTGTACAAGTCTCTGCCTCTTTGCTTAAATTTATTCCTGAGTAGTTTAATCTTTTTCATGTTATTGTAAATGGAATGTTTCTTGCTATTGCTATTTCCCTTTCAAATTGTGTACTGTTAGTATATGGAAATGCAACTGATTTCTTGTGTGATCTTTTATTTTGCAGTGTTGCTGAAATGGTTTATTAGCTCTAACAGTTATCTTGTGGATTCTTTAGGATCGATAGAGATCATTTTACTTATTTGTTTATAATTTGTATACTCGTGTGTGTGTGTGTGTGTGTGTGTGTTTAATCTGTATAGAACTTCTAGCACAATGTTGAGTAAAAGAGGTGAATGTGGGCATCCTTAACTTGTTCCTAATTGTAGGGGGAAAGCTTTCAGTCTTTCACCATTGAGTATGATATCAGCCATTATATACTGTTTTATATTAGGGTTACATTGTATTCAGTTTTTCTTAGAGCAGTTCAGAGAGTTGTAAAATAAATATCCATTGTAGACTTTCTTAATTGTACCTAGAAAGAATTTTGGAAAAACTGCATCAAAAGTTGAAGTTACGTCCCTTAAATTCACACTACTGTTCTGTTTGGACAAAATGAGCCATGGAAATGAATCAGATAATTGATGGAGGTTTTTTCTCATTGATTTGATAAAATTTCCAATTATTTTGACCTGAGACTTGGTCAAGCAAGTTTTATACCCATAATTGGACAATTTAGAGAAACAGTGGCAGTTTTGCAGAGATTTCATGAGCAACATAGAATTACAGAACTAGAAGCAACTTCCCCAGTCTTGAACTTTGTTCCAGAAAAGATCAGGAGTTGGGATTTTTTAGTTTGAAAAAAACCAAAAAATTCGATCACTGTAAGAGACAAAGTATTTGTACTATTGAAGGAAAAAGGGATAACAACTTTTTGTTTTGTTGTAATTTAGGAAGCCTTGGGTCAGATAGATTGGTTTTTTAGGCCCAATGTAAAGAACAAAATTCTGAGCAATTAAGAGATATCAAAATATGTAATAGGCTGCCTCTCACAGTTGTGTCTGGTGTTTATGTGACCCCACATTTAACATTCTGCCATTCTACATATAAGTCATAGGCAAAAGGAATTCAAGAATTCCTATCATTATAATCTAGTGTGGACCAAATATACAAGATGAAAAACACCTCATACTTTCTTCAGTCAGCAATGACAACTTGCTGCAGGAAGCAGAACCCATAGGTGATAATCCATTGTCAGAACGGTGATTCACACAAGTAAAGAAACCACATGCCACTAGGATAACAGGAGAGAGTGTTCATCTCCTAACTGTGAGAGGAAGAAAAAGAAGACACAGAAGAAGATTCAAATTCTAGTTACTAAAGGGGTATTTTCCTGTGAAATAAATAACCAAGAACAGGTACAGGGACGTGTTTTATTTTTAAGTTTGAAGAAAACATCTCTCTCCCATTTGGGATCTCTTAGGGTCTTCCGAAAATCATTTTCTGAATAGTTGTGAAGAATTGGCAGCAACATAACACTAATTTTAAGCAATCTAAATATAGAAAATAGGACTAGAGAACATAAAGCCAAAAGTCAGGTTTTAGTCAGCTTCACAGAAACCACACATCTTCAGAAATTGAGGCCACTCAAGATATGTTGTGTTCACTTTGCTGTTGCCACTACCTTTCATCCTACACCTGAGTTCTGATGGACTTCATTTTTCTTTGTACCCTACATCAAGGCATCCATGGGGGAGGAGGGTGCAGTGGGGAGAGGCAGCTAGTGATCTTTACCAACACCAAGGAGATGGCTTGGAGTGATCTAGTGCCAGAGAAGTAATGACTCATTTACATAATAAAAGTAACTGTAATTTCTTGAACACTTAATGTGTCAGACGCTTTACTAGATGCTGTGTATTCTTCATGAATTTATATAGACAGTCTCCCAGTAGATTTAAATAGATTTCAATGGGATCTGGACTCTAGACACTCCAGAGTCCAGGTAGGGTTCATCTTGGGTGAAATTGTGCATAGCCATGGCATATGTTAGGTATTACAGCTTCCACCTTTGGATAAGAGTAATTAACTAATACTCAGTTGTTAACTGCTAGATAACTTATTTAGCAATTCATTTTGAGTTGAAGCTCTGTTAACTTCTTACCCCCTTCTCTAGTGTCTGTTCCTAGCAGGAGGAATATTCTTAGTATCCTCCAGTCTACCTGTTCTTTAACTCCCAAGCTAAATAACACAAAATTATGTGATCTACCTCCGCCCCCAGCCTTGCTTACCCCTCAGATTAGAACTTGTTAACATCACCCCAAATCCTGGGAGAGGTCCTTTAGACACTATGCAAAGAACTATTGTTAAGCACCCAACTTTGTTGTTTAAGCAGGTCTGCCGTGAGAACCCTTATTCCTGAATTCTAGGAATTGCATCAAGTCTTCATGTTGATTGTCGGAAAACTATTCTAAGTGCTTCTCCTCCCATGTTTTGTCTGTGCTAAGAAACCATAACTCTTGGTATTTTTCTCTTTCAAATATAAAAGAATGTATTTCAAATCCCAGTGTTACTCTGTTGTATGAAGATTTTAATTTACCTGACCAGCTCTCTTGCAGTGATTTAACATTTCTTTATTCCCCAGGGAAAAGTTAACCATCGGCTGCCGCCAGCTGGTTGAGATGGAGTGTGCCATGCAGCAATGCAATGCATCTGTGTATATGGAGGCCAAGAACAGGGGATGGTGTGAAGACATGCTCAACAGTAGGGACTGAGTCTGATTGGTAACTTGAAAGGATTGCATTTGTCCTGAAGAACAAGAGTAGCTTTCAACCTTTAGAGCCAAACCCAAGAGACTTGTAAGAAATGTCTCATTTGTATAAAAAGGTGATTGCTTGTTACTGACAGTCTCATTGAGGTTCTATGAAAAGCCTAATGCATCCCTTATGGGAAAAACTGTGAACTCAACTCTGCTGAAGTTGACAATACCTCCCTACCTCTACTCCTGTTACTGAGCCAGTATGTTTAAGGGAAGGGGAGTTTGTTTTATTTTAGTCACCTTTGGGCAGGAGCCACTGTGGCATCTGAGGAAGCACAGCATTAGCATCTCTCAACCCTGAATATGGTTATGGGACCGGTAGGACCTGACCATGCTCACATTCCATGAATAAAATCTTATCCCGGGTTGTTTTTGATCAGTATCTTCCCTGTAGACCTGGTGAATAGAATGCACATCCCTTCCACTTCCCCAAGGTAGTGAAAATAGAATTTTTGCTTCAGCTCCAACTTGCAATAGCAGCCTTTCTTCTGCCCTAGGCGTGTCACTTTCCAGTGCATTTCTAGTGGGAAGAGCAGGGAGATCCCTATGCAGTTCCCCTTACATGTGAAGCAGCATGAATTTTTGGGATTAGGTGGCAGTGACCGAAGTTTCCCCTAGCTAAACCAAGTGTTTAATTGACATATTTCTTATTTAGTTATATGAGTTGGAAGTCCTTGTTTCTAGAGTATATTATGCTTTTGTTAGTACATTAGATTAAATCTAATTTGGTATTCTATTATAAGGGTTAATTAATTTTTTTAAAAACTAAGTTATTTTTTAGTAAGATTTAACTTTTCACTTTACTTCCAAATTATATTTCTGAACTGTGTACAAGGTATAATTATAAATGTCATCCTCTCCAATAAAAGAGAACCTAGCCAGTCTGCTCACTAGCAGTCTGTGCAGGACCCACTGAGCTGTTTGCATACAAAGCCACACCTCCACCGGGGGCTCAGAGTGCAGCTTTGAACCTGAGGGAAGCCTCTGCTCCCTGAGGAGCCAAAACATCCCTTCCCTTGGACCAAAAGAACTTTTCAGGTCTTTATCCCTTAGCTGCTTCTGGTTGTTACTGTTGGGTCTCAGCTCTGCTTTGTTACTACCCTCTCTTTCCTTTGTATCTTTTTAATATATGTTATGCATTTCAGAACATTTCTTTTTACTCCTATCCTGCTTACTTCCTCATGTTTCATCCTTATTTATATGGATTTATATCTTAGTCTGTATGTCTTTTAGTTTGTGCATTGTCAATTCACTTTGTAAATTTTATTGATATGTGAAGGTGTTTTCTTCTGTCTTTTTAATTTTGATCTAGAAACATTCTTTTAAACTTTTTTAGTCTGTTTCTTTGAAATATCAGGTGTTTTTTTCTCCCTTCCTTGTTGCCTTTTCTAATCTTGAATTGTATTACACTAAGTCTAATGTCTGTCACCGTGCACTTACCACAGTATTGACTGTATGCCCCCCCCTTCACCTTTTCAGTCAGCCCCCTACTCTCTGACCCCCTGACAACCACCAGTATGATCTGTTACTGAGTCTGTTTTTTGTTTTGTTTTAGATTCCACATACAAATGAAACCTTACAGTATTTTCTCTGACTTATTTTACTTGGCATAATACCCTCTAGGTCTATCCATGTTGTTGCAAATGACAAGATTTCATTCTTTTTTATTTCTGAGTAATATTCCATTTATTTTTGCTTTTGTTTCCCTTGCTTGAGGGGACATATCCATAAAGATATTACTGAGGCTGATGTCAAATAGTTTGCTACCTATGTTGTCTTCTAGAGGCTTTATGGTTCCAGGTCTTAGTCTTTAATCCATTTTAGTTTATTTTTGTATGTGGTGTAATAAAGCGGTCCGGTTTCTTCTTTTTTTGCATCTATCTGTCCAGTTTTTCCAGCACCACTTTTTGTTGTTTCCTCATTGTATATTCTTGCCTTCTTTGTTGTAGATTAATTGACGCTATAAGCAAGGGTTTATTTCTGTGCTATTCTGTTCCACTGATCTAAGTGTCTGTTTTTTGTCCTAATACTATACTGTTCTGATTTCTATGGCTTTGTAGTAGTCTGATATCAAGGAGTGTGGTACCTCCAACTTTGTTCTTGCTCAAGATTGTTTTGGCTATTCAAGGTCTTCTGTGATTCCATAGAAATTTTAGGATTTGTTCTAATTTTGAGCAGAATGCCATTGATACTTTGATAGGGACGGCACTGAATCTGCAGATTGTTTTCATATATTTGTTTTGATGGAAGAATTATCAGATCCTTAGAAGAGCAACTCCAGGTTTTGAAATCTCCCTTCTTTAATATGTATGGCTATTATATTTTGAGCAGAAGCCATCAGAAGCATACCACGAACAAGTGGACTGATGGGGAGAGTCACACCAGGGGAAGGGCTTCCCCATCTGTCTACTTTACGCCCTTGGCTTTGCCTTAGTAGGAGCTGGTGATAACTTCACGAGAGGCATCCCTGAGAATTATTCCATCAAAGTTCCTGGCACCATTTTACACTAGCCTTTCCACTTTTCTAGAGTGCTATATAAACAGAGCGTTTGCAGCTGACTTTTCATTTAGCATGCCTTTGTGATCCATCCATGTATTATCAGTACTTCAGTTCTATTAATTCAAGTAGTATTCTATTGTATGGATGGAATTGATTCATTCACCAGTTGGAAGGATATTTCAGTTTTGGGCAATTATGAATAAAGCTGCTATATTCACACAAAGGCTTCTGTGTGAACATGTTCTCCTTGCACTTGGATAAATACCTAAGAATGGGATTACTATGTCATAAGGTATTTTTCTAAGAAATGGCCAAACTGTTCTCCAAAGTGACCTTAAAATTTTCTAATTCCTTCAGTAATTTTTCATTACTCTGTATCCTAACCAGAATTTGGTATTATTGTTTTAATAGGTGTGTATGACATCTTGCTTTTTACATTTTCCTAATGGTTTATGATAGAGAACATCTCTTCATGTTCTTACTGGAACCCATTTATCTTCTTTGAATTGTCAATTCAAATCTTTTGCCCAGTTTAAAACTGGATTGTGTGATTCATTTTTAGAGTTTTGGATTCAAATCCTTGATCAGATGGTTTTCTTTCAGGCCTGTACATTTAAGGACTTGGTACCACTTTTGGTTTAGACACTAGCTTAATGTAGAAGGTAGATCTTTTCATGACTTGCAAGTAGCCTTTGGTAGATGCTTTCCAATATAGCAACCCTATTCTTACATTGCTGGGTATTTTACTTCATCTCATAACTTCATTCTCTCATTCAAGTTTGGTATTCCTGTGTACTTTTTCTAGGCTAAAATTATATTACTTCCTTAGCCATTTATTCAAACATACACCCTTTTCCAATTCTATTTCCACAAGATATCCCATATATACCCAGTTTTATAACTAAGCGTTGCTTCTCTTATTCAACTTCCAGTAAGCTATGAAGCTATTCATAGTGAAGCTTAAATATTTTGTTGGCCATTGTGCTATTAAGTTGAAGAATCCATGACATGTTTGTATGTCCTCCTTATAAACTTTAGTTGTTGTTCAGTGTATCCTTTTAATACTCTTGAGAAACTTCTGGATTTATTATGAAGGAAATTGGTGCTTCACTGTAATTCTTTTTTAACCTACAGATGATTTAATGTTTTCTTGATTTTTTAAAAATTGAGTAAATTTGACGTGTAACATTGTGTAAGTTTAAGGTACAGTGTTATGCTGATACATTTATATGTTGTAATGATTGCTGTGTAGTGATTATTTATCATATTACATAATTTATAGTGTCTATATTCATTATACTGTGCATTAGATCTTTATGGCTATTTACACCTTGTTGCCAAGTTTGTATACTTAAACACCATCACCCTTGCTCCTTCCCTCCTCAAGCCCCTAACCACCACCATTTTACTCTTGTTTTTACGGGTTTTACTTTTTTAGATTCCACATGTGCTATCATACAGTGCTTGTCTTTCTCTTACTTATCTTAACATAATGTGCTCAAGATTCATCCATGTTGTAGCAAATGGAAAGACATCCTTTCTCATCTAACAGGTCTCCTGATTATGGGACCAAATTTGTGACTTGGCCTTATTATTTAAGATCATATGTTGGTGTTTCCTTTCTTTTTTCTTTTACACCTAGTTAATTTACCTGTATCTTATGTCTCGGTGAAAGATTCTTCAAATCTTTTTTGGAACAAAGTAGGATACAAATAAATGCCTAATACTATAGACACTGAGTTTTCTATGGCTCATACTTTTCTAAAGGCAACTCTGGAGTTGCAAAAATACCCTAATCAACTCTTTCCCCTTTGCCTATTTAAATTTTAAGTTAAGAATTCTGAGGTCCGGAGAGATTATAGGTATCAAGCAAGGATTCTAGCACTGTATCACATTCACAAATCTAGGGGCTCCCCCACCCAAAAAATATCGTTATGTAAGAAATTCTAAAATGTGTTGAGTAATGGTAAAGCTTGTATGATGTACAAGCCAAAAATCAAAACTCTATCTTAAAAATCACAAAAAAACTCATGACTGAGGTATAACTGTTAATTTAAACAGGTATTTTATAGTTTTGCTACTGTTTTAGGACCTAGTATATTTTACGCATTTATGACAACCAACTGCAAGCATGATTATCATCAGTATTATTTCTAAATTAGTCCAAAACCCATACTGGTAAAAAAAGAAAAAAAAATGCTGAGGTTATGCCACATTTCCTTTCCTTCCCTCAAGAAAAATGTACATGTTGGACATGGATAAGTAACAACTAGTCATTGACTGTGTCGCCCCCCCCTCCCAAGAAGCTTCTTATATTCAATTCATACTTAAAAATTGATTTTAGCCACCAAAATACCTGTTTGTCATCAATGATAACAGAGGAAAACTTTGACTCAAAGTAATCTCACATATTATTTGCATTTAAGTGTTACTTAGGAACTGAGAAGTACTTTCCAAGGATTTTATTGCTTAATCCTCATAAAACTTAATTTCCTTATGTTAAATAGAACATACACAGAGCCATTTAAAAAAATAGTTATCAATATTAGGCTCATATCTCCAACCTGGTTTTAGTCCAGAACAACCAGCAACTAATAGTCAGGACCAGCCACCAGGTGAACTGGTTTCCTTTCCTGGAAGGTTTCTGTGTAATGGATGCTACAAATAAGGTGTCAAAGTGCCAGTGAAACAGGTGGAGAGAATACCTCGTCGTCTTCCTGTCCCAGTCGGCTCATTAGATTCCTGGGTGCTGCTCTATCTTCTCTGAGAGAAGAAACTGAAAACCTTACACCGTCGTGAATTTCAGATGTAAGATGCCAGGTGAATATTTTTTTCCCAAATACCTTAAGCTCATCACCAGTGAAAAAAAAGTTTCCCCAGAACTTTCAGTAATGAATGAGTACACAAACAACATGTAGATGTCAATCCCGTGGTGCAAGGATTTCCTGCCAAGCACCTTTAATAAGTTTGCGTCAGCAGCAGGCGTCAGGATGTGCGAATTTGGCACCATAAGTTATATGTGGAGCACTGCACATTAGCTACCCAGTCACCCCAACCAATATTTATCCATGTGAACAGAAAAACTGAACAAAAACATAGTTCTGGTGAAGACTGCATTCATAAATCCAATACAGTTTAAATTAACTGTTTTCACAGTCAAGGGCTGCCATTTGGGATTGTTTTGTTAATGATAAAAATAGGAATTACTTAGAAGATAAACTACTTCACTGGTCTTTACTATTACATACTAAGTATCTTGCTATATACCCTTAAAAAGTAATATTAAAAACAGTGTTTCAAACAAAAATTACAGCTATGTTACTGTTCATCAACTCCATTCAAATAAACATTGGTAATTCATTCTCAAAAAAATTATTGTAGCTGAGGCGAAAGCTTAGAGGATTGCATTCTGGGTGTGTAAAGAAACTACTAGAAGACCGCCATTCGGCTTCAGTCACTGAAATCCGCCACATCCCACTTCAACAGGTAAAGCACTCTGCTGAGAATATAAAAAGTTATAAAAGGCAATCATAAAAGATTAAATCTTGGCAGGCACATCAGCTATCTTTTAATAAAAACAAAGAGTAGTTGCCATCTAGTTAAATAAATCTCCTTTGTTATAGAGTGTTCCAGTTATTGAAAAGGGGCCCTTAAAAAACCCAGATGCCTATATCTTAGTACCCTACCCCCTGCCCTAATAGACATTTGAGAAAAGAGTCATTTAATGTGCAAATTGGCAAAACAAATGTGGAGGAGTGGGGACTTTTTGAAACGATGTGCCCAATCAATTCTTGGTTTATTTTACAGTATTAACTTCCAGAAAGTAAAATAACCAAAGTAGTCCTAAAAATACATAAAACAGACCTTCAACTTTGCATTCCTTTCCCAGTAACACAAAAAACTATGTACAGCATGTTTAATAATATGCAATATGCAAAAGCTCTGTGTTGCTGTTAGCAACCTCTATACCCACCCACCCTCCTTATTCACAAATGTACCTGTAACTAAACACAATTACATCACTAAGCCTGTTAGTTTGAAAGAATCTTAAATTTGTTAAAACTGGAAAATCTTTGTATAGGGGCTCCACTCATTTGACTCAAGGTTATAAACTTCTACAGTATTCAGAAATTCATTGCCATCAAATCCTCCTACTGCATAAATGGTGTTCCCTACAGCTGCAATCCCAGCATTGCTCCTTGGTGAAGTCATGTTTCCCATCATCTTCCATTCATTTCTAGTTGGATCATACATCTCCACACAGCTGATGGCATGAGAGCCATCAAAGCCACCACCTACAAACAGTTTTCCTAAAAGAGAAATGAGACAAATCAATCCAGATAAAGAAAAAAAAACCACCCAAATCTATCTTTTGCTAATATCAGTGGTTCTCAGAAATGCCTCTTCATTCTGTCAGAAGTATTTATTAAATGCCTACTAGGGTGGCAAGTACTCTCTAGAGACTGGGGATATAAATGGAATGAAATAGATAAAACCACTCATACAGGAAGCACAGGCAACTTAAGTGTGTGTGTGGGGGGGCATCTAACTAAAGTGCAGTTCTCGCAATTCTATGTGGTAGTTGCTATTACTGCCATTTCACAGATGAACTAAGGCACAAGGAAGTTGGACAACTTGCCAAAAGACACAGCTAGTAGTAAGTGGCAAACCAAAAAAGCTCTGTGCACTGGATGTTTTGTATTAGTCTAGTGTGTAACAACTAAGATTCAAAAGAAGTAATAGAAAAGCAGATTTCAGATAATTAAACATTTTCTAGAGCTTCCCAAATATATAAAATGATGTTGGTAAAGAAAGTTCTTGGAAATAAAGTTGAGAGTTATGACTGCTTTCAAATATACATGTAGAGCAGTTAGTTGTTGTTTTCTAACATAAAATGTTAACATAAACACTATTACTCAGAAAAATGCACATATATGATAGAGTTCTCACTTAATGTTGTCAGTAAATCCTATGAGGACTTTAAGTGAAAGGACATGTGACAAAACCAATTTTACCACGGGCTGATTGATCAAACAAGAGTTGAGTTCCTATGGCATCCATCAACATCATGAAGAAAGGTTAGTGCTGCACTTGGGAAAGAACTGACCAAGCTCACAGTGGCTAGAGGCGCAGACCAGCAGGCTGCTGGTGGGCGTGTCTACGCACACATACTTGCACCAGCTGAGCCACAAGCTTACTAACATCTGCTTTTGTTCCAAAAACAAGGCTAGTTAAATTCATTTTAATAATTGTAAGTAAATCAATACATTGTATATGGAAAAGGAAGCTGTGTCTGTATAAAACTAAGTTTAATGTCTTGGGAAGACTTCTTAAAATAGTCTAAAAGTTTTGCTTCCAATTAGGTATCAAATAGACAATTAGAATGACTGGATCTAGATGATTTGCAAATAAAATACTTCATAAAATTCTTGCTCTAAATAAGTAAACGCAAACTCCAAAATGAAGCATTATGAGTATGGTTTATGGAGGAAAATGACTTAGAACTTAATTCAGTGAATTCATCAAAAGATTAATGAATTACTATATTGAGGTTACATCAAGTACCGAGTTTCTGATTAGGAAAGACATTTCTAAAAGATAAACCCCCAATCCCCATTGCATCAGAAAAGATGGCTGCTTCTAAATTCTTAATTAAACAAACATCTAGTTACCACTGACATTCTCTTGGTATTTTACAACAAATTCTTGCCACTAACCAGTGCTACTCACCATCCAGAACAGCTACACCAGCTCCTCGCCTAGCCACATTCATGGGTGCAATTAAAGTCCAGGTGTTATTTTCAGGATTGTAACGTTCTACGGTGCTCAGGCAATTCCAAGACTCTGCACCTCCAATTATGTACAAATAACCACCAAGCTCACAGACTGCAGACTGGTGTCTACCTATAAAATGAAATCAAACCAAAATTATTACTCTAGTCCCCAAACTGTAAGTGTGTACTACATATACTGTTGATTCAAGTCTTTTTAGGAAAAGAAAACATGAAGGAAAAAAGTCAACTTACGAATGTTTAGAGGAGCACAGCTTGTCCATGACTTCGTTATAGGATCAAAAACATCACAATTTTTCAGTCCTTTCTGGCCATATGGATCAGAGCCACCAAGGATGTATAATTTCCCATTCAGAGCACACACCCCTATGTGAGTATAAAATAAGGTTACACATTGATAATCTAATTATCATGTTTAAATACTGCTATCTCAGAAGAAAAGCATTTTTTACCTGCATTACAACGATTAGTTCTCAGCTCTGGGACAGGAATCCAGTCATCTATGTTTGGATCATACATCTCTCCACAACTCAGGTCATCTGAGTGGCCATTCGATCCACCAACCACATAGAGCTGGCCCTGTACCAAAAGTGAGAGATTAGCATTTCCACCCTTCTAAAGTTATGAGAAAAAGCTAAACGTGGGTTGCTTCTCCCTGAAACTTAATGCATTTACCATCAGTACAGCCATTTGAAATCGGGCTCTTGGTGTTCTCATGGGAGCAAGGAAGGACCAATGATCTGTATGTGGATCATAGCATTCAACTGTTCGAAGACATTCCTCTCTGTTATAGCCACCTGGTAAAAGAACCATAAAGATTTATGTTTAAAATATTAACCTGGACGAGGGTTTCTGGTCCAGAATGGTTTACGTAATCTGCATAGCAAGAAAAAGAGTTTTTATCCACAATCTTATATATAAGGCCCCAGTAGTTCATGTTTAAGTGCTTATAAATAACTGAATTAACAATATTGTCAGTGTGACTAAATTGCTTGGTGTTGGCTTAAACATTAGAACAATTTACCCACTTTATTGTTTTTTTAAGAATTAGAAAAAGATACTGCGTCAGAGATTAGGCAGTACAACAACAGTATTTACTTATTATTTCTCTGTTGTCTTACAGTGTGATAAAGTGGAATGCCAAGGAAGAAGGCGTAGTAAACACTCTCTTCCAAAGCGTGCATGTCACAAGTGTCAAGTGTCCATTTGGAGCTGGGCTGGTTGAAAGTTTCCAGTAAGAAATCACCACCCTTGCTCTTACCTGCAGCTATGAGTTTGCCATTCATCTCCGCTGTCCCCAGACCCGACCGTGCGTAATGCATAGGCGACATGGGCTTTTCTATCAGCTCATCTGGCTGCATCTCAAAGCTCAAACTCTTAGTTAGTTTCGGAGTACTTGTTGGGGAGCTCTGTGGGCTGTTTCGCCCGTGAAGGAAAATGACACAGAATACACCATCTAGCACAGCCAGGCACAAGTAAGTGTTATCTGTAAAACCACAAGAGTTCTATGTTTAAGATGCAGTTATTATTACTTTTGGTTGCTGTGCAATCCTGAATTGAACTCTAGATTCCAGACAGGAACAATCTGCTCTTGTATTCCAAACTTAGTTGCTTCTGAGTTTTTTCCTCAAATAGTCAATCTGAAGGCATTAAAAAAATGGTTCCACTAACACTCCTTCTTAAAAAATAACTGAATTTTAATAATCTGACAAGGGTAATACACTTACTTGAAGTCTTTTCTGAAGCAACGATTTTCCACTCGTGCTTAGGGCTTTGTACTGTGGCATTTGGAGAAGAGAGACATCCAGTGGAACTGCTACTTATCTGCTTATGGCCATTCTCACGTGGTGGTTTTTTCTGCAAAATCAAAAGGTAGCTACAGAAACCTAGCCAAAGACCATACCTGGTGTACCTTTGTTCCTGAGCTATTTCACAACACTGAAAAAACACTCAGTATCCTCCACCTATGTATGACATTATAGCATGCCTAAATTTAACACAAACCAACAATTCCAGTCGACACAAATCACACGCATATTTCTATCTCCACTTAATAACAACTACACTTACACAAATTGCCTGGTCAAGAAAAGCTCAATTTGAACAACTTAAAAAATATATTGTGAGTCAAATATCAATTCCTTAATGGAGGAGAAAAAGGAAATCCTCTACCCCATAATCCACATAAACTCTCATACTCTTTATATTAAGTACAGAATGTTCTAAAAGATGTTATAAATTTAAAATGGCATGAATTAACTGAGAATACATTTAACCCACTGTCTCCACGGAACTGTCAAACCTAAATAAATCATATGTACTGGTATCCTTCACACAATGCAAGCAAAAAAGTGAGCAAATAATATCCATCCAGCCTCTCTGACAGTATTTTACAGGAAAGAGGTGCTAACAACAAGAAACACTTAACAGTATATTTCTTTAGGACTACCTTACAGATATTATAGAGTCTATTTCCAGACTAATTAAACTACATCAAAACACAAAAATATAAAATAGTAATGAGAAATGAAACACTACTACTAAAAGAACCAACCATTCACAAAACAGAATATCCAGGAACACTAACGGAGGGAGAAAGGAACAAAGTTGCAAATGATTGTAAGAGAATTACAGTGTGTTCTCATGTGTGAGTTCCCTTTGATGATTTTTGTCTAATTACTTTAGCCCGTGACACTTCCAACGATACGATCATAGAGAATTGGAAGAGTCAACACTAACTACTCTGAGACGAGCTGTCAACGAACAGGTACCACCTATCACCTTCAGTACCTGGCCAAGTCTGCCTATCCACTTATTTTGGTCCCCAGGGCCAGAGCCACATGGGTAGGTAAAGTTTTTAATGGAAATTTCTATTTCTAGTGGAAGCAAAAAGCTATGTAATAATAGAGAAAAAGATTTTGGTAGCTACATGAGGCTTCAAAAAACTATTGAAAAGTTTGGTCTAGGCCATTCAGCAAGTGTGGTTACACGTCTGTAGGCTATTTTGAGAAAGGGCAGAGAATGTACCATGTGAATTCCGAGTATGAAGGAATTCCGAGTATGAAGCCACTTTTTATACGACAATGTATCCTCTACCATGAGAATTACAAGGCACATAAAACCCCATCCCAATCTGGGAAGAAGGGATCCATAGCCTGGCGCCAGTCCATCGGACACAAAGTATCACCAATTGATAATGCTTACATTAAGAGCTTCTATCACAATGAGAGAACTTCTAGAGAGGAGAGAAAACCAACATGAAAGAGAAAAAAGCACAGTAACAATGAAGATGCCAGTGTTACAGAACCAACAGCCTTTGGCAGAAATGCTGGTTAACACTTTTATATTCCTTCTGGAACATCTTCAATTCTTCCAGCTTCCTCACATCAACTTTACCACCAGCCCACTCACTGGCTCATGCTTTCTTTGCCTCCGTCTCCCAAGAGGCAGTCTCTGGTGGTGGTTTTTGAGCTTCTCAAACTACAGGTTTCTTAACCTTTATACTCTTTGGAAATTATATCCACTCGAGGTTACTAAGTGGTTTCCTAAAACCAGTGTAGGAGGGAGGTTCCTAACTTCTCTTCCATGTCTCCCCAGATGACACAGCTGGCACGTGAGTCCTTCAGACTTCCTCCTCCTGGGTTAACTGGCTCTTACAACACAGTGTGATTCCGATCGTCCTACCTTCCTACTGGCTTCCTTCTCACCTTCTTTTCCTATTCCTAAAGCTTAGTGTCCCTTCATCTTCTTACTTCATGATCTTGATTCATGGCACTGCCTCCTAAGGAGTCACAGGTCAGAATCCTGCTCTCTCTCAAATTCTTCCTTTTCCTTAATTTTCCTAATGTAAATGGACCAATCATTAAGAACTACTGACTCAATCTTTGTAACTATATCTATAGTCCTTCCTTTTTCCTTCGTGCCCTTACACATTGGTCTCACGAGCGCTAATCTACCTTCTCTACCTGGTTATAAAAATGGAAGTTTAATGCAATCATTTTGTAAAGTAAAAAAAAACAAAACACAAACTAGCTAGAATCCCACAACCCAGAGGCTACCTGATAGTTAACCGTGTGTCTAAAACATAATTAATAAGTACACAAATCTTTGCTCTAGAGAAATACCGTAATTTAACCCATCCACTATTATGAAATGTATCTGTTCATATTGGATCTACTTCCTTGTCTAAAAATCTATGAAAGTTCCCCACTACTTGGAGGATAAAGCATAAGCCCCATTTACTCACTTTCCTAATCTGGGAACCTGCACTTCCAAGCATGCCACCCTTGTGCGGACTTTCTTTGCTATCTGATGCGACTGTCTGCTGTGCACACTCTTCTAACCCTAAGACTGCGCAAATGTTGCCTCTTTTGTGAAATGTCCCTCGTTTCTCTCCTCTTGACTCTACTATGTCCTTCCCTTTATACCTTCAGTAGTTACCTCTTATAAGTCTGTATTGTTTTACCTACTCCTATAAGTTCCTAAAGTAGAAGCTGTCTCTTACACTTTCTTGTGTCTCCAAATCTAACACAATGCCTGCCATTTACCAAGCATTCCACCTTTGCTTACTGAGAGTACTTTAGAAAACTTTCAGACCCATAAACTTTCTGAAAATAAAGCTGTTTGGCCACTATTAACATAGAACACCTGACATCACCATACAGGTTACGTCTGAGTCTATTCTTTGTCTTCTAATTATTAAAGGAGAACCCTTAAAGTGGGTCAACTCCACCTACTTTATATTTTATCCCTCATAAATACAATGTTGAACTAAAGGCCAAAAAATGATTACATACTGTGTGGCCATTTATATCAAGTTCAAACACAGGCAAACCTGTATTTTTAGAAGTTGTGATAATGATTTCCTTCGGGGGTAGTTCATGGCAATGGTCGGGAAGGGGCAGGAGGGAGGCTCCCAGGGCACTAGAAAGCTCTTCTTGACCCGGGTGACTAGTGGGCTCACTATGTGACACTTAGGATTTGTGCAGTTTTCTCTGTAATCTGTCCATAAACTTAAAAAGTTTATTACTGAGAGTCTTGAAAATTGGATCTATTTTATAGTCATTCCTGTTGCAAACAACTATTTTTCTAGCCAAATTTCTATATTGCTTCATCTTATTTGTCATTTTTCTTACTATTTGTAAATGCTATTGAGAAAAAAATCTAAATGGGGTTCCTAATTTGCTGAGTTAATGTCTTTTAATGTAGCAAAAGTGGTGGAAGCTTGAAGGTATGCTTGTTTTCTCCCAAAAATGTTTCTGTCCAGTCATACCAATGAAATTCTTCCACTTTCCTTTATTGAAGGAAAATTGCAGTACACTATAGAATGCTCTAATCAAACTTTAACCTGAGGTTACCTCAGATGTGCAATGTGTACCTGCACAAACTGAATGTGGTCATCATCACTGCCAAACACCTCAGCCTGTCCATCTAGTAGGTTCCCATCAAGCAGCTTGTGATCAGCTGAGTAGTACAAGGTTTGAACCTGCAAAACAGCAACAGAACACCCATGTGGCTACCGTCTCCATGGCTACACTTTTAGTACGCAGATCACACAACCGCCTCAAGGTAACCTCCAGTGTGCTTCTTGGGCTTCTTGACATCTTACTCTGGCAGGATCCCGAAGCAAAGAAAACAACATGTCATGGTTGTAAAAATTAAAAAAAACAAAACAAAAATAAAATACAGAATCTTCTAATCCTGGCTGAAAAGTCCTTGGCTTGATTGGGTGAAAGAAGTCTTCATTTTTTTCATAGCTTCTATTATATTGCATTAAGAAAAAAGGCACTAGTACAATAGATAGGATCTTAAAGAATATACACATTTACAATAAAATACTGAACGTGCTTTACACCTCTCAGGATAAGTCGTCTAATTTGCATAAACATATTTCTGTCCTGTAGGCAATGTCAAGAAAAACAAATCCAAAAATTCAAACAAGATGCTGTCAAGATGCTTCCCTTAATCGATGCAAATACATGGCGAATGCATCTGATTTTCAAGTGAAAAACCATATAGAACTTAAAGATCATCTGTTGGCCTTTCAAAACGTAATGGTAACAGTATTTTTAAAGGCCTAACAGACTTGGTAAGCCACTAGTGAACCTGAAAGGCCTAAGCGGAGGGATAAACTCAAGGTCACCGCACCGCTCCATCTGCCTGCGTTTAATTCCCCTAATTCTCCATTAATTTTTTCTTGCGTGGTTTTTAAAAGCCCAAGTTGGTGACTATATGTATGAATAACACCATTGAAAAACACAAAGCTTTAAAGATAAGATTCCTGTAAAGGAGTAAACACCATTAAATCATCATCGTTCTCTGCCCACAGCGGATTTTTCTTAGGAGAACTGGGGCAGGACTGCTGCTTCTTTACGTGTCAATACACTTGAGGATTCTTCTTGTCTCTTCAGTCTTGGGTATCCTAGTTTTGTTAATAAACCTATGGGGAGATAAATCAACGGGGAGGAACAACCATTAGAAGCTTTTACTTACTTGTCAATTTTAAAGCAAAAACCTGTGAAGAAAAATTAAGAATCTACAGAAAATTTCAGTGTACCACCTCCCATCTCTAAAGCAAATTACATGCTACTTTAAAGAAAGTTAATAAGCACATAATAAGCAAAGAAATTAAAAAAAAAAAAAAAAAAAAAAGAAAAAGCAGAAGACCAAACTGAACAGTTCATTCAGCTCACCTGGACACCCCCCCTGTTTCTCAGCTTAGGGGTACCTATAGCAAAATTTAAATTCTTTAGGGTCATGGTTATAAAATAAAAGTGAGAGGGAATCCTTCATGTTATAGCAAAATACTTTTTTAAGAGTTGTTGAATCCCATTTACTTTAAAACTAACCTCTTCCATCAGCTCTTCCAGACTGTCTCCATTCTCCCAGATGCTACGCTGCACCCAGTTGATTACCTTTGTATACAGTTTGCCATTGCTGGGCAAGCAAACATTATCTTCAAGCATTACCTCCAACTAGAGTGGCGGGGGGGAGAAACAGTAACACATGGATCAGTGTTCACTCTCCAATTTTTAGCTTAATAAAGATGCCCCAATGCATTCCACACATTTACTCTACATTGTGAATTGGAATTAAGAACCAGTAGCCAAAAAACAAAGAAAACAAAATTGGTTGGAAGAAAACCATTACAACACTGCTAAAAATAACAGTATCATTTCAGTGTACTCTTTTTCACAACCATCACTCATTTGCCCAAAACATTAACAGAGATTCCATGCCTTGAACCAAGTAGTATATATCTCTTTAAAAATTTACTCCTTACCTTTAGCCGTGGAAGTTTAAGAAACTCTTCCTCTTCTGAAATTTGTAACAAATGCTCCTGAATATAAGCATCAACCTTATTCAACAAACGGGAGTCTCCCATACAACTTGCAAAGTTCCGGTAGGAGATGCAACTGGTAACATCCATTCTAGACAGTAAATAATCGCCACAAACCTTGGAAAACAAATGAGCACCAACATTTACATACATTTTCTTCAACAAGCATTTCATACTCTATATGTAAGCATTATGTAAAGACATAAAAATGAATTAAAAAAATCACTGCCCTAACAGAACAAGTTTAACAGTGGGAAAAAACAATGTATACAAACGATAAACAACAAATGCCATACAGATGTGTCAACTGTTTAAGGAAAAAAACACTACACTGAAATGCTATAATACTGCACATGAAATGTTAAGACAAGTATAATTCTCAACTAGAGTAATTAGAGAAGCCTTCATGAAGGCAACATCTGAACTGGGCTCTACAGGACAGATGATGTAGAATGCAGATAGGGAAGACGCTGCAAACAGTTTAGTTTGATTGGAGCAAAAGTGAATAGGAAATAATTTTGGAAAAATAGCAACTACACTAGGGAGAACCTGGTGCTAACCTGAGGGATATGTGCTACAAGCCATGGGAGGATATTTAAGCAGAGTGCTGTTAAAGGAGGTGCCAGGAAAGGTTCTTAAAGGGCCAAATAGTTAAGTGTCTTAGGTTTGTGGGCCTGCTGTCTTTGTCAAAACTACTCAACTGTCACTATAGGTGGAAAGTGGCCACAGACCGTATGTAAATGAAAGCTGTGTTCCAATAAAACTTGATAAAAACAGGCATCTGGTGGGAGGGTTGCAGTTTACTCACTCCTACATAGAGGATTAAATGCTTTTCTTCCTATGAATTATTAAGTACTTCTCAATGGTGTTAAATTCTAGAAGTGATAACTTTTAAAGAACCCAGAAGAGTAAAAAACAAACAAAAAACCCCACAAAGAATTGCCCTAGCTGGGTAGCTCCGTTGTTTAGAACATCGTCCTGATACACTAAGGTCACAGGTTGGATCCCTGGTCAGAGCACATACAAGAATCAACCAATGTCCTGCTATGGGCATGTACCTTGGCTGCAGTTTGTCCCCGGCCCTGGTTGGGTCGTGTGGGTGGTGGCCACTCGATGTGTCCCTTTCACATCGATGTTTCTCTCTCTTCCTCTCTCTCCTTCCCACTCTGAATAAAAAATGGAAAAATGTCCTCGGGTGAGGATAAAAAAAAAAAAAGAATCAACCAATGAATGCATAAATAAGTGGAACAAGAAGTTGGTGTTTCTCTCTCTCTTTCTCAGTCTCTCTCTCTCCCTTCCTCTCTTTAAAATCAATTTAAAAAAAAAATATGAACAAAGAATTGAAGTTATATGATTAATTTGAGAAAAATATTTTAATTCATGCTATACAGACACCCTGACAGAGAAAACTATTAGAAGAGCAAGACTTTAGCCCATTCCGAGAGGAGGTGTGACCTTGCTACATTACAGCTCCACATTTCAAACAGCGTATTCAGTTCTCTAGAGGGAAAAAGAGACTTTCAAGTTTTTGAGACTAACAAATGACAAGACATACATTCTAATCATACAAGACTCCTGCCCGACTGGTGTGGCTCAGTGGTTTGAGCATCATCCCATGGACTGAGAGGTCCTAGTTAAATTCCTGGTCAGGGCACATGCCCAGGTTGTGGGCTTGTTCCCCAGTAGGGGGCGTGCAGGATGCAGGCGAACAATGTTTCTACTCTCTCTCCCTTCCCCTCTCTCTAATAAAAAAAAACAAAAAACAATAAAAACATATTAAAAAAAAATTAGACTCCCTGACAACAGCAGTCCTTGTATTATTTCTGGTACTCTACCTGTTTTACTCGGTCCATCTTTAGCTTTTTGGCTGCAGAATAAACATCTTTCACTAATTCCTTATCAGCTTTCAACCTATTAAAAAAAAAAAGGTTATCATTTCACATCCAAGGCCTCAATTTAAATCTAGAGAAACTTAGATTTTCCTGATGACATTCCCTGATTATATAAATGACTTCAAAGAACTTACTGTGCAGTGTAGGCATAATTCAACAAGACTTCAACAGCTTCTGGGTTGAGATCATCGAATTTAACATGAGAAACTCTATGAGGATCACTGTCACTATTAAAGATTTCAAATAAATAGGGACTGCAGCAAGCCAGGACCGCTCTGTGTGCTAACATCTCATGGCCACAGACCTGAAATTATGAGGAATTAAAATCAGAAATATTGTGGACTATGTATTTCTCTACTTAATCATTCATTTTAAAAGATATTTCATTAAATGCCTCCTGTGAATGAGAAAATAAGCAAATCCAAGATCCTATGGCTTTTACTAATAAAAGACCAATTCTGTAAGTTTCCAATTAAGCTTTAACTACCTGAAGTCGAACATCACAGAACTGGCCACTTTTCCTCAGGGCGTTTAATTTGGCAACAGAAGACTCAATGAAATTTTCGTCTTCAAACATTAAATATCCATTGGGAATCATTTTTTCTTATAAATTTGGCTGAAGGGCAAAAAGAATGAGTTATTTTACTTGTGAATGGTGACCTTTATATTTCAAAGAGTAATACAGTATCTTTATTTTCAAATGTTATCGAATCAACAACGTTATACAAAAGCATTACTGAAACAACACTGGCACTGGATGTCCAGGTCTTTGTACTCCTACACCAGCGGTTCTCAATCTGTGGGTCGCGACCCCTTTGGGGTCACCTAAGACCACTGGAAAACACATGGTGATTCGTAACAGTAGAAAAATTACAGTTATGAAGTAGCAACAAAAATAATTTTATGGTTGGGGGTCACCACAACAGGAGGAACTGTATTCAAGGGTCGCGGCATTAGGAAGGTTGAGAATCAATGTCCCACACTTTGGTCATCTTTTTAAGGATTCCTACAGTAGTGGGTTATCTCAGCAACTTTGGCAGTCTCTATGCCTATTAACACAGTCATTGTAAAGGGAAAGAAATGTAAACCCAGCTCTACCCAAACCCATTGCAGGAACAAACTAAAAGCCTGGACAGTGGTGAACTGGTCCTCACGAATGGGTTTCCTTTTGGCTGCTGTAATTCTGTTATCCACAAATGAGAATAACTGATATATAAGATGAACTTAAATTCTCTTCCCTTTGCAGATTTCAGATACTCTAAATCATTTATAAGAATACATACTAGAAACTTATGTTCTTTTTAAGTTTCCATGTCACCTTTTCTTGGGAACAAGCTACTAATGGGCTATACAAGACACAACACTGAAAAGCAGTAATAGGCCCTAGCCAGTGTGGCCCAATTGGTTGGGTGTTGTGCCATGCACCCAAAGGTTGCTGGTTCAATTCCTGGTCAGGGCACATGCCCGGAATGCAGCTTGATCTCCAGTAGGGGGCGTGCAGGAGGCAGTTGATAGATGTTTCCATCTCACATTGATGTTTCTCTTTCCCTCTCCCTCTCTCTCTAAAAAGCAATTAAAAAAAAAAAAAAAGGCAGTAACAGATTTCAGTTTGAAGTAACTTATTCAAATTCAAAACAAAGGAAAAAATAGAAAAATGTTTTTTTATTACAAATGATTACTGGCATCACCTTATAAAAATTATGAAAAGCTGTTAGTGAACTTGGTATGGTGTTCAGAAAAACAAGGTGTCTTAATTCTGCATTAGGCAATGAATGTTCACTTACCTACTATACTGGTAAGAAATGTATTTCTGGGATGTCTTAAATAATCCAAGGACAAAGGAATGTTCAAACTTAGCACTTCGTTGAGGTATGAAGACAGGTGATGGAAGAGAACAGAGGTGTCTTAAACTCTAATGGTGATTCCAAAACTATCAGGCTTGGAATGATGTAATCAAGTCCTTAAAAGCTATAGACATGAGTTTCTTCTGTGATAATCATGTATCATAATCTGCAACAATGAAAAATTTTAGATATTCAGAATGTCATCAATCTAGGTCGATCATATCACACAAAGTTGTGATCTTGAAGAGATTTTGAAAAGGCACAAAGAGAGAAAAGAACACAAATGTGATTATATATAAACATTTTTCATTTAACCTGCAACTAATCAGGTAATAAAAAAATCCTTTTAATATAGAAACACATGATCCTTGTTTTCAACAGCCAGCAAACAACTTGGGCATCATTCCCAGACATGTACACAATGTTACAGTCAAACCAGATACAGTACACTGTTTCCCCAAATATGCTCTGCACTTCTCAGCCTCTGTACCTTCTTGGAATACCCTTAATCCAACCTCTGCCAGACGAAATTTTACCTCCATAGAGCCCCTGCCAAATCCTCACAGGTAAGTAGTTTCTCCACATACGGAACCTTCTCTGAAAAGTGTGGGAGATCTTACAGCTGGCCTGTTCTGGGTTGTGTTTCTGTATACCTGCTTATCTTCCTTGATTCACGGTCCCTTGAAGGTAGAGCCTCTGTCTTACTCATCTTTGTATGCATTCCCTCTACCCCCCACCAAAACTTAGCCAGACACTTGAATATAAAGATTCACCTGAACTGCTACTGCCATTAACTCAGGAAACCAGAACTAAGAAATTATTTGAAAGATGTGCATTCTTTAAATTTTAATTTAATTGATTTTTTAATTGATTTTTTTTTTAAAGAGAGAAAAAGTAAGGGAGAGAGAAACATTGATGAGAGACAAAGATCGATCTGCTGCCTCCTGCATGCCCCTCACCAGGGATTGAGCCTGCAACCTGGGTATGTGCCTGACCGGGAATCAAATGCAACTTCTTGGTGCGGGGAACAATGCCAAACCAATTGAGCCACACCGGCCAGGGCATGTGCATACTTTTTTAAATGGACATCTTAAAATTACCCAGACTTTCCTTATACATCAATCAAATCCACAATTCTAATTTAACAATTATGTTAAGGTAATCACTTAAGTCTGGTCCAGTTCTAATTCAACAAACCTATTTGTTAAATTCAACACATAACTCTTTGTAAGAGAGAGGGATCCCACATGCCCTAAATGTGTAACTTAGGTCTTATTTCAAGAATACCTGAATATTCTTCTGATTCAGTTGGGACTGTTGTCAATGCTAACCCCCCAACAAAACTGTATCATACCATTATATAACACTGATTGCCTCTGCTCTACATTTTTATCCAAATTAGTTAATTCAACTTTTCTTCAGAAACCAGGTCTAATAAAATAAATGTTTTCCAAGCAACACACAATTCTCTATACAGATAGAAAACACACTATATCTTAAAGAAACCTTCAAACACTTTTAGCCAAGATCCAGCTCAAATTAAGAAAATCTTGGTACACATGGTATATACAGGGTGACCAATCCACACGTGCAGCTGGTAATCCTCACTTCAGTTTCATAAACTGCTCTTGAAACAAGGGTGAAAGGGGACCTGCCATGCAAATTCTGTTGATATTAAAATGTGCCCTTTGAAGAAAACCAAAAACATTATAATGTGGAGATTTATAAAGATTTTAAACTTTGACCAGTTTTATTCAGTATCTATTTGTAAATTAGTCTTGATCTAAGACTAAAAATGCCACTTACTTATATTTGATAAATTGGAAGTTCTACCTTAAATTTATTTTTAAAAACAATAACAGGTGGTTAAAATATTTTCAGTCCTTTAAAAGGAAACACCAGAGAATTTTAGGGGGTCACAGCAACTCCTGCAAAAACATGTTTTTGAAAATTCACATTCATTTTCACTAAAGTAAGACTAGGCAAATTGAGAGCTTTAAACTATTTCAAAAATTCACAGAAAAATCTTAATTTTGGTCTATGAAATTCAAGTTCAATAACTAGTAGAAGAAAAAAAGTAGAGAGAACTTTTTTCCTTTGAAAAACCAAACCAAAAGTCCCACCACCCCAGAGTTTATATAAAAGTATAAAACTTAGACTTGTGTTTGATATTTAAAATACACATTTGCCCTGGCTGGTGTGGCTCAGTTGGTTGGGCGTCATCCAGTGGATGAAAAGGTCGCCAGTTTGATTCCTGGTCAAGGCACATGCCCAGGTTTCAGGCTAGATCCCCAGTGGGGTGCATGCAGGACGCGGTTGATAAATGTTTCTCTCCAGCATTGATGTTTCTCTCTCTCTCCTTCCTCTCTAAAATCAATAAAAACATTTCATAAAATATACATTTGACTTATCCACTTTTTAAATTAAAACTGAGGTCAACTACAATATATTCTGGAGAATATACTTCATGTCCTTAATATAGCAAGTGCAAGAAAAGGGAGAAGACTAATAAATGAGTAATTAAACTTCTTTAGTAATATCCAGAAATTCACATTACCACAGCCCCTGAAAAGTTAGTTTAACTGAACTACAATTCAACAGGTCTTAGCAAAGAGTTTTTAAAAGGTAGGCATAACACTGCCTCCCCCCAAATTTTTCTCGGGCCTTCAGTAAGAAGAGCAAGATAAAACCTTATCAAACTTTCAAAGCATCCTTAAAACTTTAAGGCAAATTACAAACATTATTTAAACTGCAAGGCAATCTTTTGAGGGCAGCCGACTCACACAAAAGAGCAATCAACTCCATTTTTAAAGGACTTTATAATAATGCAAAGAAAACCAATAAATCTTTGTAAAACCAGAAGTAATAGATTCCCATTGTCACCTCTGAAACTACTATCACCATCCATCTACATAAAAAGTCACCAGACAGACTCACTTGGCTCCACGTTTCTAACCTCATTGTTCTGTACTTCTTTCATCCCACATACGTTATGGCACCAAGCATATGGCAGGCAAAATCTGGAATGGGATGCTCAAGGCACAACGGAGTTAACTCCATTCCCCAGCCTTGAACACTATGTAGACCAACCAGAGATAAACCGAGCAGAAAAGACAGCTCAAACAAAAAAAGTAAAAATGTATGACTGCACACACATTCCAGAAACTGCAGCAATTTCTGTTTCAATAGACTGCAGTTTGCAGGATGCATTTGGAAAATAGTGGGAGAGGAAGTAAGAGAGTCCACTGCTAGTTTTAAACAATGCTGGAGAGCAGAAAGGGATTTTAGCAAGGAGAAGCATAGGACATTAACAAATGTGCAGATGGTCTGCAGGAAAGGGTTAAAACACTGATGCAGGAAAATTAAGTACAGATATTATATACCCATGCTTATCCTTAGGCAGTAAGGATATTTTAGCCTGGATATGTGGTATCATTATCAAAATCAACATTCAAAAGGCACAACATTCATTTTAGTTTGCTGCATGCTGAGAGCTAGGAAGGAAGAGAGGAATTTGCTTTGGGACATAATACTGAGGTACCTGTTGGGCATTAGGGTTGATACCACAAGTGTCAGAATATTGATCCAAGTGTAGGTTCAAAAATCATTTACAAGATGGTAACTGAAGTTGGTATGTGAAGATAAACATGTAATTTCTGTGGTTCTAACAACAACAACAAAACAGAAATCACTCCCTTATTCATAATTCCTCCATTTACACTCTGGCACAAAAGGTGGGAAGATCCCCGAGTTTTAAGAATCCCTTCTTGTAGATTTGACCATACAATTGTACTGTTGAAATCAATTAAATTATTTTTAGTGGTACTTGATCTTAGTAACAATGACTGAGACATTTCCTTAACAAGAAAACTTTTACATTAAAAAACACTTATTTGCAAAACCGCATTTAAGTGCCACTTAAAATACCTTTCAAACAAAGAAAACAAAACCCCACCTCAAAGTAAGTGGCCAAAAATCCTGGAATGTTTTGTTTTAGGGGGAAAAGTTAGAAAAATAGAACGACAAATTAAAATAAATTAAGAAATGTATATCTATTAACCAGAGATGTCCTCCGTTAGGAAAATACAAAGGAAAATCATTGTGGGTCTCTTTTTGGTCAGTGGCATTAGTCCGTTTTACAAAACTCCAGCTACTAAATTATAGACATTTGGTAAGTAGCCTACCTGCCGACATTAATGATACTCTTCTCAATCCCATTCTAAATAGTGTTTGCCTCATCTCCAGATATACAACTACAACTACTCCTTGGCGTCTTTAAGCCATAACTTTCACCAAGATTATGCTTACAAACGATTCATTAGTATTTTATTTTCTTTAAATTAACCGATGGAACTGGAATTATTAACAGAAAAGACAGTCTAGTCCATGCTGTACTAGGCTTCCAGAGTTACTCTTTATTACTAGACAGAAGATCCACATACAAGTCCTCAAAGAACAGCTGGAGGCCAGGGTGTTCTAATCCTCCAACACTAACAGATCTTAGGAAATGAAAACGCGCCCTTTAGGCATCTGATTTCTACTTGCTATAGTTTTCAAATGTCAGCTGTCTCACACAAAGATCTGTCTCCGACGTACTGGGGAAAAGTAAATCTAGTTCTAAAGTATTTGTGGTTCAAGTTTCCCTACGTTCAACTCTCAATCTGATACTGCCGGATACGTTCCTCCTAAGTGCTTATAACCGGAGACCCTTTGCAAGATGCATAGAAAGAAAGTCGTTAAAACAGCGAACCTCACCGCCGATTTCTTTCGTAAATAAAGAAAGTGGCCAGCGCCCCAGAGTGACTGCAGAACCCTGCAGCCCCAGGCCTCCCTCCACGCGCGGCGGCAGGAGCCCACTCCGCAGGCGGGAGGCCAGGCGCCCCGCGCCTGCACACCCCCGCCGGGGATTGGCCGGCCCCGCAGTCATTCAGCGCCAACACGTCAGGGCAGCCGCTCCCTCCCTGCTCCCGCCCCCCTCTCCCCGCGCTTGGCAAGAAAAGCGGGCAACGTGGAGCGGGAACAAAGGACCCCGCGGCCCACCGCGATCAGGGACGCGGTGCCACCTCACTCCAGGCCCGGGGCACCGATGCGGCCCGGGGTCGGCTCCCCGCCCACACGCGCCGGGTCCCGGGAGGTCTCACGTTGGAGAGTCCAGACCCGTGCAGACCACACACTAGGCGTTGGTGCTGACAGCGAGAAGGGAGATTCCCGCGCCCTCGCTCCGGCAGGTCATCGCCGCACCCCCACCCAGGCCCCCGACCCAGGCCCCCGGGCAGGCCCGGCTCGTTCCGCCCGCCCTGCTTCCTCTGCCCCAGCGCTCTCCGAGGCTGCGGGCAACCGCCGGCCGCCGCCAACGCGACCAGCAACCAAGGCAGGGGCCCGAGGGCAAGGCCCGCGCGGCGCCGGCCGCTGGCCCTCGGAGGGCAGAGGCGGCGGCTCGGGGTCCCTCCCCGGGGATCGGGACACCGCTCTGCGCCTTCCACCCTCTCCGAGGCCGCCCACGCCATCCCTCGGCGGCCGCGCCCGCTTCCGCCTCCACCTTTGGTGCGAACTGCGCTTATTACCTGGTTCATCTCTGAAGAGATGGAAATACTCATCTCTGGAGCTTCGATGGGGAGCAGCAGGAAGCGGGCGGGAACAGGCCCAACGGAAAGCGCCTCGAGGCCGCGGAGGGGGGACGCGAGCGAGCGAGAGGACGCGCGGCCAGTCCGCGGAGGGTGCGAGGAGAGGGGAGCGCCAGCGAGGGCTCGGGGACTCGCTCGCTCGCCCGCCCGCTGGCACGGCCACGAGGAGACGGCAGGCGGAGAGACTGCGCCCAGCAGTTCCGAGACACCCACCTCCACGAGCGTCCCGGAGGCACTGCCGCCGAGGCTGCTGCTCGCGCCTCACCCCCTTCGCACGTCACCACGTGTGCCGTCGCCGCCGCCGCCAACGCTTTGCAGACGCTTCCGGCTCGGATCTGTCCGCGAATCACAGGGGAGCACCAGAAAGATGCAGCCCTGCGGCCCCGCCCACCCTCGCCGGCCCCGCCCCGCCCCGCCCCGCCCCGCCCCGCCCCGCCCCGACTCTCGCTCGGTCTGGTTCCTTCCAGCGCGGCTCAAGTAGGTCAACGCAAGGTGATCCCTGGGAGAGAGACTGCGCTCTGGGTGCGACTCCTTTTACTTATCTCGCCCTAGTCCCTCCTTGCCCCGCACCCTCACTTCGCCCTTTCGGACCGTCCCGGAACTGGTTCCTTCCAGCCGCCCTCACCTGTTCTGCTCCCCACTAGAGGCAAAATCCCCAGAGAGATCAGATGGGGGAGATTAGATTTCTCCACGTCAAGTTTACATCTAGGCAACTGCCCTTGACTGGAGCTGGCCGCGGTGCACCTTAGAGTTGGCCCTCGCCTTTGGTGGAGGGTGTTGGTGTGCAGGGAGGAGGCATGGAGGTTGCGAGGGAGAAGAGATGCACATCGAAAGAAGGGGTGAGACGATTCGGTAACTTAGAAAGAACTATTGGAAAAGACCGAAAAGGCATAATAAATATAGGTGTTGCTATAAAAACTTGTTTACTTCTGATTTTTGTCGTCGTCCCCCACGCCCTGCGTTTCTGGTTTGTCTGGCTGCGGGGCCCCTCTCAGAGAGTCAGTTCTTTGCTGTTTTTGCCCAATTTTAGAGATGGAAAGTAGTCTTGAGAATGGGTAGTCCTTATCCAAACCTTCTGTGGCCTTTTATACTAGATGCCAGACTTAATTATCCACCTCACCACCTTGCACCGGGAGGCAAACCTGTTCAGGGAAGCGTGATGTACACTGGGCTCTGACAGCAACTTTATGTAACTCTGAAGGCCATGCTGGAAAGTGTCCTAGACTGGACCTGAGGGGATTTATTTAGTAAGGTAGACTTGTTTGAGTTTGGCACAGGCTGCCAGGTTAATGTTAGCTTGTTCTGGTTTCCCCAGGGCACTCAAGGGGTCTAGGCCTACCCTTGTTTGTATTTGCTCACTCAGCTGAATTTGTAGACATTTCTAGGAGGTCTTTGTCAATGCCTCCTTTAGTTTATGCTCATAGGAGCAGGGGGAAAAAAGTATTGGGGTGCTTCATCTGCAACAGAAGTTTTACAATGTTTTATTCTGAAATCTGGAGGAAAGGAGGCTTGTTCCCCCCCCCCCCCCCCATTCAGTTGTGGGAGGAAACAGGAACTGGAATATCTATTAGAATGATTCTTCTTTCTAAAGGAGAAAAAGACTGACATTTGCCACTGGGCTCTTGTTTTTTAATTACCCTCACTTGTATTGCAAATGAAACTGCCTAGAGTACATACCTTTTAAGTTCTTTTAGTACCATGGGCTTCATACTTCCAGTGAGAGAGTATGAATTGCCCGTTTGGGGTAAGCACATGACTGTGTGGCCTGCTGGACACATGGTCCCACTTGCTGTACTCTAAATAGTGCCTTTGTGACCTGAAACAGTCAACACTTTTCTTAAAGCTACAGTGTGATCAGTCAATGCATCTTTGCCTTGTATGGCATATCACATGTTACATTCTCTATGAATAATGGCATAATTTATGCATTCCATTTGTCTTTCAGGCAACTCCAGAGTTAAACCTCTCTATCCAATTACTATATAATCCAGATGAAAAGTTGAAAATGGAACGTGGTAGGTAATTTCAACCTTATAAAGTAACAAATTATGTTAATGAGATTTTGTTCTTAATTAAGAAAGATAAATAAGGAATTGGTGCCAATTTGCAGTCTTTCCATTTTCCTCTCTGAACCTGCTTCAAATGTTGTCCCAGTCTTCAATTCTGACTTGTATTTTATTCTTTATGTATTAATTTGCTAGGACTGTTGTAACAAAGTATCACAAACTGAGTAGTTTAAACAACAGACATGTATTGTCTCACAATTCTGGAGGCTAGAAATACCAGGTCAAGGTGCTTGCAAGGCTGTTTCCCCTGTAGGCACTAGGGAAGGTTCTGTTCCAGGCTTCCTCCTGGCTTCTGATAGTTCTGTAGTTTGTGGCAGTAGAACTCCAAACTTTGCATTTTCCCCCTGTGCCTTTGTCCAAGTTTTCCCTTTTTATAAGGACACCAGTTATACTGGGACTTGATATGAATTTTGGAGGAGACATAAGTCAACTCATAACACTTTAGTTCAGTATTTCTCAAGATCGGTCCACTGACCACATTTGTCAGAATCACCTAGCTGCTCTTTAAGAAATGAAGGTCCTGCCCTGGCCAGTTTTGCTCTATGGTTGGAGCGTCAGTCAGCCTGTGGACTAGAGAGTCCCGGGTTCAGTTCCCCCAAGGGACACGTACCAAAAAAAAAAAGAAAAGAAAAGAAATGAAGGTCTCTAGGCTTCACTCTAGACAAGTGATTTTCTAAGGAGGGGCGTGTTTTTTGCCCCTGGGGGACATTTTGCAATCTTTGGGAAAAAGGTGGTACTGGTATCTAGTAGACATGTAATACTGCTACACATCCTACAATGCACAGGGCAGTCTGCCCCAACAAAAAATGTGCCCACCTAAGGTGGCAATAATGTCAAGATTAAGAAACCCTACTGTAAAACTGCTAAATCAGAATCTCTAAGAAAGAGGCCTGGAAATCTACATTTTGCCAAGCATCCCAACATCTTGTATCCACACCAAAGTTTGAAAAGTACTACATTCCCAAACAAGAAAACACTAAAGGATTTCATCACCATCAAATATTAAAGAGACTTTAAGAAAAAGGAAAAAAAAAAAAAAAGATGAAAAATATGAACAATAAAATGGCAATAACTACATATCTATCCAGAATTACTTTAAGTGTAAATGGATTAAGTGTTCCAATCAAAAGATGTAGGGTGACTGAATGGAGAAGAAAACAAAACTCATACACATGCTGCCTATAAGAAACTCACATGGAAAGACACAGAGGTTGAAAGTAAAGGGATAGAAAAAGGTATTTCATGCAAATGGAAATTTTAAAAAGCTGGGGTAACAATATCAGACAAAATAGACTTTAAAAAAAAGGCTATAACAAGAAACAAGAAGAACATTTTATATATAATAGCCAAGATATGGAAGCAACCTAAGTGTCCATCAATAGATGATCAGATAAAGAAGATTATATACAGCCCTGGCCGGTTTGGTTCAGTGGTTAGAGCATCTGCCCGTGGACCAAAGACTTGCAGATTTGATTCTGGTCAAGGGCATATACCTCAGTTGCAGTTCATCCCTGGCCCTGGTCGGGGTTGTGCAGAAGGCAGCCAGTCGCTATGTCCCTCTCATGTCGATGTTTCTTTCTCTCTCTTCCTCTCTCTTTCTCTCTCTCCCTCCCTCCGACTCTATCTGAAGATAAATGGAAAAATATCCTCAGATGAGGATCAAAAGAAAAAAGAAGATTTTATATATATAATAAAATATTACTTTGCCATAAAGAATGAAATCTTAATAACCTAGAGAGTATTATGCTAAGTGAAATAAGTCAGAGAAAGAAAAATGCCATATGATTTCACTTATATGTGGAATCTAAAAAAAACAACAGAAGAAGAAAAATCAAAACAGAAACAGACTCAGATACAGAGAATAGACTGATGGTTGCCAGATGGAGGGAGGTGGGGAGCTGGGTGAAAAAGGGGAAAAGACTAATAAATACACATTGGTAGTTACAAAATAGTCCCAGGGTGGTAAAGTACAGGGAATGTAGTTAGTGATATTGTAATAACTGTATGGTGCCACATGGGTACTAGACTTGTTGGAGAGGTCACTTTGTAAGTTCTATAAATGTCTAACCACTATGCTGTGTACCTGAAACCAATATAATATTGAATGTCAACTGTAATTGAATTTTTAAAAAAATTTTAAATAATAAAATAGGTTAGAAAATCACTACAGATGCAAAAGTCTCTTCTAGGCATAGGAACATGCCCCATTTCATTCCAGATATTAGTCACCTCTCTTATTTATTAGCCATTCTAATGCTGATAAGTTAATCTAATTAAGTATTGCTGCTCAGCAATTCACACAATTTATGTCTTACTCTAACATATATATTAAACTGGAAGCTTGTTTACATTTTTAAATTTCTATGCCACATTACATTATTTTTGGTCAACTTCTACATTTTCTGGACTAATTTGCCTACTGAAAACAGCCTGTCTGTGGCTTGGCAAAGCATTGCTCTGCCTCCTCCCGGTCACTAGTTCTTCCTGCTTTCTGAGCGACTGGCTTGTCTATTTCATATATTGCTCTCATCTCTTGAAGTCAAGTGCTGCTATTCTCAATGTCTTTTCTTTTGGCATTTGGAAATATTTTTAGGTTATATTAGTGTTGTCTTAGGAGCAGAAACAGCGGTCAAGATGGTGCCTCCTCCCACAACCACATCAAAATTACAGCTAAACTACAACACAACCATCATTCAGAACCGCCTGACATCCAGCTGAATGAAATCTACAACTATAAAATTAAAGCAGCTGCCACACAGAGACTGGTAGGAGGGGCGGAGGCAGACGGGCTGGTCCCACACCCACGTGTGGCGGATAAAAATCAGGAGGACACCTCGGCTGTGACGGTCCTCCCTGAGGAGTGAGGGGTCCTCATTCCACACAGGTGCCCAGCTCAGGTTCCAGTGCCAGGAACAGAAGTCCCCATAACTTCTGTCTGTAAAACCAGCAGGAACTGAGGCTCAGGGAGGATGAGACTGCTGGAGCCCCAGGCAGCTCCTCTTAAAGGGCCCGCGCACAGACTTACTCAGACTTGCTCCCTCTGAGCTTGAAGGGGAGGCAGCTTGAGGGGCTCAAGAGATATCCAGAGAAGAACTGAGCTGTTTGGCCTCGGGATGAGGGCTAGAGAGGCGGTTTTCTCCTGGACAGATGTGCTGGCGGAAGCTGATTTTCCTTTGGTGAGCCCTTCCCTGGGGCGGCAGATGCTGCCATATCTGGGACTCCAGCAACCTGGCTCACACTGGTAGCCCCGCCCTGGTGATTCCCTG